GCAGTCCCATGATAGACGGTGACCAACAATTGGTTCATACGAGATTTGTTGCTTCAGAATACTGGAATCCATGTGCACGATTGGTTTAAAATGAGGGTTTTCCAACTCCCCTAGATGGACTCTGCGTGTCCACCAACCAGGTTAAAGCTTCGGACATTCGCTTTTCCTCCTCTCAATTTCGTAAATAACACCCCCACCACGAGAAGGTAATGGGTAAAACTTCCCTGACAGTGGTTGTGTGCATGTGGACATGTGAGTGAATTTCGAATGGGAGAGCTGAATCTCGCCCCCCCCCCCTTCAGCCGTACCACGGCATTTTTCAGGTTAATGAGAAATCATCAATTTAGGATGAATTAACTGAATTTAATAAACTAAGCTGTTCTTACACTGTTCCCAGCTGTATTCTTTGTATCTTAATTAAAATATCTTACATACTCTTTAGATTAATGAATCGATCTATGTACATATATACAAAGATCTAATGTCATTATATATTAACTTAAAGTTCTAAACAAGTCACTTATAATCATACATGAGGTTATGATGTTATTAACTTAATTAACATACTTCATTTGTTGTTATTGTCTCATGTCATTATTTCAAAAACTACAAAATGGAGCGTTCAACTGGAGAGGAAATTAGGAAAGAACATTGGAAGTGGATACGGAAATCATCAAACTGCATCACGAGGCAAGCACTAACTTGGAATCCTGAAGGTAAACGGAAAAGAGAAAGTCCAAAGAACAAATTACGTCGGGAAATAGAATCAGATATGAAAAGGATGAATAACAATTGGAAAGAGCTGGAAAGGATTGCCCAAAACAGGGTTAGATGGTGAATGCTAGTGGGTGGCCTATGCTCTTCGACGAGGAGTAACAGGTGTAAGCAAGTAAGTAAGATTTAATGACCAACTAGTAATTGTCAGAATGTAATTTTTATTGAAATTTTCATTTCAACCATTAATTTCCACATTATTTGTGTTTTTCTTCTAGTATTTTGGGCTGGACTGTAATACATTGACACACTTATGCCGAATAACTGTACAAAATTCCAGAAGCTTAAAATTAAACGTAGTCTAGGGTAAAAGACACGTCAAAATGTACTACACACATTACTTACTTACGCCTGTTACTCCCATTGGATCATAGGTCGCTGACTAGCATTCTTCAACTCACTCTGTCCTGGGCCTTCTTTTCTAGTTCCATCCTATTCTTGTTCATTTTTCTCATGTCTATCTCCATTTCATGGCGTAATGTGTTCTTTGGTCTTCTTCTTCACCCCCTTTGGCCTTGAGGATTCCATGTGAGGGAGTACCTTGTGACATAGTTGGGTGCTTTCCTCATTGTGTGTCCTATCCACTTCCAGTGCTTCCTCCTGATTTCTTCCTCTATTGGAATCTGGTTTGTTCTCTGCCATAGTAGGTTGTTGCTAATAGTGCCCGGCCAATGGATCTGAAGTATTTTGCATAGAAAACCAGGCCGAGTACCACACACATACTGTGTACTTATTGAATAATGAAGATATTGTGTATAACCTCATATTTCACTGATAGCTGCTACAAAATTCAAATTAGTTCCCAACTTATCAATCAAAACATTGGATAGATAAATTCACTTGGTGTTGTTTTGCTTATATCCTCCCATTGTTATTTAGGACTGCGATTGATCAGTCTCTTGTTGGAATATGTGCACCCTGTGCGGATTGACTCGATATAGCCTTAAATCACAAGCTTTTTAAGCAAAGATTGATAGTGGTTAGCAGTGGAATCTAGTTTGACGCGCATTTCCTCCTATTTGGGACTCGTCAGCTGGATGTACCTGCATCGCAGAGTTGATGTTCACTCTGGGACTCAAACCTAGTATCGTTCGCTTTAAACGTCATCGCGTTATCCATTTAGCTACTGAGTCCTGATAGTCACTTGTTTGTACAATGAGGTGAATTTTAAATTCACTTGGTGTTGTTTCAGTTGTATCCTCCCATTGTTATTTAGGACTGCCATTGATCAGTCTCATGTTGGCATATGTGCATCCTGTGCGGATTACTTTAATATAGCCTTAAGTCATAAGCTTTTATAAGTAAAGATGAATAGTGTCTAGATAAACCAATTATCTCATATTGTTTTATGTATTAACATATGAAAATTCATTTGATTATATACGTGAAATTTGAGATTACAACATACTACCAATAACAAACTTTAATATGAACATTTAATAGACCATTTTATAGTATAAAACTATTTGTTCAATTCTATATTTGAATATATGGATAAAGTTGTTTCATTAGTTCAATTCATCAGTAGATGTAAACTAGACCATCACTGAAAACCTGGAAGCACTGAATAACCATTTCATCTTAGTAATGGGACATCTCAGTAGTGTACATTTACGATCCCACATACAGGATATAAACAATGTTTCTGGAAAATTACAATTGACTCATATGATACAGGGTTTAGAACTCGGTACACAATGTTCCTTCAGGATACTGGATCCCATGTGCACCATTGATTTGGGATCCGGTTAAAGCACCGGAAATTCACTTTTCGTCCTCTCATTTTCGTAAGCGATACCCGGTTGGCGAGAAGGCAGTGAGTAGGACTTCCCTGGTAGAGGCTATATGTGCGTGGCCATGTGAGAGCAATTGGAGAGGGAGAGCGGACTCTCCCCACTCTCGGCCGTACCAAAACTATAATTAACCTACACGAACAGAAAACTATTTTCCAGATCTTTACAGAATAAAATTCCCCGCCCAGTTACCACTATATACATCTACCAGTTCATGTGTTTCTATCGAGTAAAGTACATAAGTTGAGACTAGTGTTTAGGACCGCAATTGATCAATCTTTTATCTGTATAAATGCATACTATGTGTATTGCATCGATATTGTCTTAATTCACAAGTTTTATAAGCAAAGATGGATGGTGGCTAGCAGTGGAATCCATGATGCGCGTTTCGTTTTATTTGGGACTTGAGGTTCAATTCCCGGAGTGAACATCAACTCTGAGATGCAGGTATATCCAGCTGATGAGTCCTAAATAGAAAGAAACGTGCGTCCTAGAATCCACTGCTAACTACCATCTAACTTTGCTTATATAGTTAATGGATTTATGAACTTATATTAATTACTCTGTATTAATCATATCTAGAATATCTTAAAAACGGTGATAGATTAGTCAGAACTGTTTTCTGTTATTAGGAAGATGTATAAATATACTTTTATTTGTAACAAGAATACAGTTTTCGTTAGGTCCATGTGGTTGTATGCTTCTCATTCAATATTAAACAAACTTAGTTACATACAATGTAATATCTGTATCTTGTCGTATTGTCACATCATTTTTTAGTAGAACAAAGAGGATGGGGATAATTAACAGAATGAAAAGTAGAAAATAGGGAAATAATAATATGGATCGTAGAAGGTAGTTAAATATAACATAGATTGAAATGTCAATGGTTAAGATCATGAGTCATTTGAAGCTAGACCACCACTATGGAAAACCTAGAAACACTGGACGGCCGTTTCGTCCCAGTATGGGACTCCTCAGCAGTGCGCATCCACGATCCTGCTACCCGCGAGATCCGAATTCACGACGTACTGGTTTCGAGCGCGAGCACTTAACCACTAGACCACTGAGCCGGCACCCATAGATTGAAATTAACCTCAGTGTTCATTGGAAAGAATAAATAGTCCTATTCCATAATAATCTGTTTCTAAGCCTGTCATTTAAACACCAGAGTAAACTCATCATTTTTTTAGATCTGATTATGTCACAAACGTTTAGTTGAATGGTAAGTTTAATGAAAAATTTACCTTAATGAAATACAGTACTGTTAAGATGAATTTCATCATAAATTAATCTCAATTAGGATAAATTTGCACTAAAGGAATTATAAACATCTCTTGTATAATAACATGAAACTAATGTTAAGTGCTCATAAATGACCTAGTACAATATTGAACTGACATCATGGTTTACATTCAAAACTTTTATCGATTTATCATGTTTCTACCATAATTATCGAATATTACTAATCATATCTGTCACATAACCAATATGACTGAACTTCACCAGTTACAACTAAACATAACTAAGCTGTCTGAAAATCTTTCTACAAACAAAAAAAAGCGATTCCATTGCATAAACAATTGGCTATCAACACTCAGTAGTTGAGTGGATAACATGATGGCGTTTGAAGTAAACGATACTGGGTTTGAGTCCCTGGGTGAACATCAACTCTGCGACGCAGGTACATCCAGCTGACAAGTCTCAAATAGGAGGAAATGCTCGTCAAACTAGATTCCACTACTAGCCGCTATCCATCTTTGCTTATAATCCTTGTAAGTTAAGGCAATATCGAGGCAATACACACAGTATGCACATATGTCAATAACAGACTGATCAATTTCAGTCTTAAAAACCTCAATGGGAAGATACAAGTCAAACAATACCAAGCGATTCCATAATAATTAGATCATATAATGTTTATTTATTTATTTAAGATTAATGAATGAGAAGAAGGTAATTACTTTTGTTTATTCACAGAACATGCCGTTTGTTGCCAATTCAATGAAATAAACCATTATGGTAATTTTACAATCATTTGATTGGTTGAAATTATTCATTCTCATATTTATATAAATAAATCTGATTGGATCGCATTTTAAAAACAGGGGAAAAATCAATACATTTAATATTGCTAAGTCATACTATTGATAACTGAGACAGTTTTCACTTGTTTTAACGAGAAGAAATAAGGGGGGAGGGAGATAATACATTTTAAATATAAAAGAGTATTTAAAATATACATACACACATACACACACACAACGGGATGAATACACCTACAGTAAGACATTGGATACAATGGTCAGTCATAGTAATAGGAAGGAAGGATGAACATGTATACATTAGAGAAAGAGAGAGAGAGAGAAAGAGACAATGGATATATATGTATATATATATGTAATGTAAGTTTAAACATTTTCATGATTCCCATTATTTCTCATAGTAAACATATTACATAAATCATTATTGTTTCTATTCTTTTCAATAAACAACATATTTGTTGAGATGGATAGATATATATTATCATGTGAAGATTTATTATTATTTATCCATCATTAAAACCATACTACTATTAATACTACTACTATTACTACTACTAATAACCACTAAAGATAAGTAGTCTATTAGTGATAATCATCATTTTGCCAATCATTCTCAAACATTCAACATACATAAATCAATGATATTTCTAGAAAGCCAAAGGAATTAAAATCATTACAAATAAATGAATGACTTAGAGTATTCTATGTATTTCTCCTATTCATTGTATATATAGATTTATATATTTCATAATTAAATGTTCTAAACGTTTTAGAGAATCTCTTTGAACATATGAGATATAGTATGGATATATGAGTGTGTCTGTGTGTGTGTGTGTGTGTCCGGGGGCGAGGAGGTTTATGTATGTATTGTAGTGAAGAACAACTGTTTCGTATTGTATTCAATTGTGAATATTATTTTTAGCTATTGGATAAATACTTTTTCATTTTAAAAAAAAGATTTCTTTACGTGGAAGAACAGATCATTTCATTGTTAACCATAGCAACAACACCACCAACAACAACAGCAACAACAGTAACTCATGGATCTGTTACCAACCATTTATACACATAGATCAATGTATAGAAATAATAATAATAATAATCATAAAAACACTATTGAAGATTCAAATCATAATGATGAAGAGAATGGATTATTAAAAGAATATCATTCTATTGAATATGATGAATTACTACAACATCAACATCATCACCATCAGCATCAACATCATCAGCATCAGCAGCATCAGCATCATCAGCATCAGCATCAGCATCAACAGCATCAGATTATTCAACAACAAACAAAATTATTTCGTCAATTATCTGCTATACCTAATCCAATTTATTATTATTTACATTTATTTTATATAAAACGTGTTGAAACAAGACGTATTCAAATTGCTAAAACATTACATGAAATTGTAAAAATAGCTCAAGAGATTTTACATGAAGTGGAATTACAAGAACCACGTTTTGTTAGTACATTAAAAGTAATGAATATGAATAATATAGAAAAGAAACAACAGAATAATGAAGATAGTGATGTAATAATAATAATACTCTATTGGATACTACTTTGAATGTAATCCATACAACGAATAGTACTTCTACTACTAATACTACTAATACTACTACTACTACTACTACTACCACCACCACTGTTACAACGAATCCTATGAATAGTACTACTAGTAGTATGATTAGTAATAGTAATAGTAATTCACAAACTGGTGTTTATTATGATGGTTTACGTGTATTATCTTCAAATCATTTTGAGATAACACTTTATTTAAATCAAATGGGTGTATTTAATTTTATGGATGATGGTAGTATACCAGGTGGTGCTGTATTAAAATTATCCGATGGTCGTAAACGTTCTATGTCATTATGGGTTGAATTTATTACAGCATCAGGTTATTTATCAGCTAGAAAAATACGTGCAAGATTTCATAGTTTAATTGGACAAGCCATACAAAAATCAACCTATCGTCATAATATACGTATGTTAAATCATACAAGTGAAGTGAAATTATGTATATATGATAAATATATATTACAAATTACACCAGCATTTCGTTGTAATGGTTTATGGCCTAGATCAGCTAGTCATTGGCCTATGAATAATCATATTTATAATGAATTAAATACTACTATAAATACTACTAATAATACTACTAATAATATAATCAAATGGCCATCAAATCAATTAATTAATGAAGTAAAATATGAAGGATTTTGTTTATTAAGTCAAGAATCAGTTTATACAAAAGATAAACAAGCAACAGCTGAAGGTGATGCATGGTTATTAGATTTTTATAATGCTGAAGAACGTTTATTATTAAATCATACAATACGTAGACAATGTTTTAGTATATTAAAAACATTAGCTGATCGACATTTAACTGGTATAAATGATCAAATCAATTTTAAACATTCTAAATCAACTTTATCAACATCAACATCGTCGACATCATCATTATCATCATCATCGTCGACAGTTCACATGATGAATTCAGTTATTCAAGAATATGATATTAAAACACTTGTTTTACATGAATGTGAAAAACATCCAAATGATGATGATTGGACACAATATACATTAGGTGATCGTATTAATAGTATATTATTACAATTAATATCATGTTTACAACATCGTCGTTGTCCACATTATTTTTTACCAAATTTAGATATATTTCGAGGATATTCTACATTAGGAATGGATATTACAGCAAAACAAGCATGGAGATTATTAAGAGAATTATTAACATGTCCACAAGCACTTGAATATCTTTAATTTTTAAGAAAAAAAAAATTGGCGGGGCGGGGGGAGGGTGCGAAGAAACTAACATGATCAATATTCAACAATCATATGGAAACATATAATACAAGAAAATTTGAAGACAATTTTTGTGTAAAGTGATTAATCTTTTTATCTCTTATCATGTTAATTACTTACTTAATTACATACGCCTGTTAATCCTTATGGAGCAATAGACTGCCGATCAGTATTCTCCAATCCATTCTGTCCTCGGACTTTCTTTCTAGTTCTATTTAATTGCTTTGTCATTCTTCTCATGTCTATCTCTATTTCTTGATGTAATATAATCTTTGATCCTCCTCTCCTCCTTTGGCCATAAGGATTCTAGGTGAAGGCATGCTTTGTGACACAATTAGGTGCTTTTCTCAATGTTTTTCCTATTCACTTCCAACGTTTCTTCGTGATTTCTTCCTCTACTGGAATCTGGTTTGTTCTCTACCACAGTAAATTGTTATTTATAGTGTCTGGCCAACGGAGTCGAAGTATTTTTTCACAGACAACTGTTGATAGATACTTGTATCTTGTGGATGATGGATTTCATAGTTTTCCAAGTTTATGTCTCATAAAGTAGAATCTTTTCATGTACACATACATATATACACTTTAACATTGATCATATTTGAATGTGTAATCTTGAATAGTTATTTATAATAATGATGAAACTATTTGTTTAAATTGTATACTTTTAACTAAAAAATCTTGTTGCATTTTTTTAAATGAATATAAGATCTATCTGTATAGATTGTTTGACTTTTCATTGTCATTCTGATCATCATTGTAATCGGAAAAATCCTTAATTCATTAAGAGCTTAATATTAATTTATGATTCATGGAATTGGTCGATTGTACTTGAACACCGATTATTACGACGTGCAATGCTAACTAGTGTTGGGAATGGTTGAAAGAAAGTTAGAAGCGGCCAAACTGACCGAAACGTGGCATTAGTGCTTGAAGTCACTAACTTCTAGTCTGAGTCATGTTGATAAATTCAAACTACTGGGTTAGGTACCGCATAACTATCGTAACCAATGGTTAGAGACTGTAGGTGATATGGCTCAGAATCGATCGATCATAATGGCCTAGGTGTATATACTCTGTGTTCCCTTAAACTATGAGATTAAAAGTGCTTTATACCTTTCTTTCAATGAACTAATTCTTTTTTCCTGTACTCTGTCCTTATATGCAATCTTTCTTTTATATAGTGCCACCATTGTATTAACTACTATGAATTCGGTGTTCATTTTGTTATGTTAATGAGGTATGGAAACTTGGACTGCTGCACATATGTACCTGGTCTTACGTTGTAGCTGACTGACCGACTTATTTATGGCAATAACTCATCTATGAAATTAGATGATGATGATGATAATAATAATAAAAGAATACGGATACAAACTGTATGAATAAACATAATTAACATAGATGTATATTTGTATGTTAGAAAGTTACAATACAGAATAGAACAAGTGATAATGTAGTTACTATCATATATACTCAAGATAAAAGAGATTAAGTAAGGGTAGTCAAATTAATAAGTCATTTAGTAAAACGCTCAACATGATAAAAATAAACATATATATAAACAATAAGATTACGCAAGTGATCAGTAACAGAAGACAAAAAACATACAAGATCGAAGGTATTGAGTTCGAATCCTAAGTGTGGGATCGTGAATGCTTACTTCTGAAAAGTCCCATACTAAGACAAAACAGTCGTTCAGGGCTTCTAGAATTCCAATAGTGATTCAACATGTATATAGAGGTTATGGAACAGAGCGGCGGCGAGGGGGGTAATCATTTACGAATACGGAAAATGGTTTCCTGTTCATGAAAGTTAATTGTAGTTCTGCTATAATAAAACAATCTTTTAATTAATACATGTAAACGATCATTCTGTCATATTGAAAAGTTGTTTGCAGTTAAATCCCAGTTTGATACGTATAAATACTTTTTAAAAATGAGGGAGAGAGTGAAATAAACTGCAGACAAGAAGAAAGCGGAACGGTGAACAGAACCACTATAAGAATGACTGCTTTAAAGGGGGGTGGGTGATGAGTATGTTTTGTGCTACTGATATCGACTGATATAAGTAGTATGTGTCATCAAACGAAAGTGAAATGCCTAATGGTAGAAGGTTAAGAAAATCAAAGGAGAAAGAGCGAGAATAGAGAATGATTGGTGTGGAAACGAAGGAATAATGAAGTTTGTGATGATTGATTGACATTTAGATTTGAGATTTTACGAAGAGATTCTGTAATATTGTGTTCGAATACATTTGATTGTTCCCATTTGTGTTCTCATTTACTACAGTATATCTTTGAAGAAATTCTAATCGTTTATCAGGTTAAATGTTGGAATCACCTCAGTTTCATTCGTTGAGATTATTTCAAATATGATTCGTCAGTCCCAATTAACGTCTAGTATACGAATGTTGTATGTTTAAAATGTTACAGTCAGCATAGATAAGAGATGTACTGAATTCTATGTCTTTGCTGTTGAGTTCCTTAAGTCTCGTTATATCGCAGAAATCTGTGATTGTCTTTCTGGACAGTGTCATATCTGCCTATTCTATGTATAAGTGAGTTTCTTAATTATTTCATTAACATGAGATCCGTTCATTTTAATAGCTTTATTTGAAAAGTTGTGGCGCCCATTGAGTTGTCTGCGGCGGCGGGCTCACCACTTTTTGTGAGGGCTGTGATCTGACTAGATTTCGATCGTAATGATGCTTGTTGTTGAAATACCTATGTCGCCTATCCTCGTATATAATCATTGATTTGAATCGCGTTAGTTAATAACGGAATTAAATAAGTCAATTAACGAGAATGGACATTTGGATACATATATTTGTATACGAAGCGAACGGAACAGAGAGAAGAGATGGCGGGTAAGCCAACTTCCCTTCAACCAAGCGTTAATCAGTATTTATAAGCACACAAAAATAAGTTGCACACATGTGATGAGTAGGATAAGAAGTGAACACACGCCTAGGCGCTCATATAAAAACAGTCAAGATTGGTAAGTGAATAATTAACAAGGTTAGAATGTGACTCAAGTTGAATGAATAGAATGGGATGTCCGAAAGTCAGAATAATAATAAGGTATTTGGGCTTAACATAATGACAGACACTACAAAGTCATCTTCTAAGTGAGATACTGGTGATGTTATCCAGAAAGATAATCAAAGAGCTTCTCAATTAAAATAAAACATGACGTCGAAGAAACATCCATCTGAGCTTTGAGTTTTTTCCATCAAATTTACTGAATTGTACGTTGGATCCATTCTGTGGTTTTAAGCCACCGACTGACGTTCGTTAGAAACCATAAAGTAATAGACATTTGTTCGCTTCAAGCATGAGACTCACTAGCAGTATAGCATCCATGGCCGAAGAGAAGGGTTGAACTTAGGGCTTTCAGGATTCCCCGTGTGTGTGTTTAGAAACTCCAAACCACTTATTTAGCTATCAGTTCCATTGAAATGTTACTGGAAACTCAATATGACATCGCTCATAAGCTGATTATTTCGGTTGTAAACAAAGTAGACTATAATAGTCGTCATGTTTCAAATAAATCAGTCATAGATAATTTGCAAGATGAAAGATCTTTCCATCGATGTCTAGGACTGCAATTGATCAGTCGCTTATTGGTATATGTGCATACTGTGCGTATTGCCTCGACATTGCCTTAAGTCACAAAAGTTATAGGCAAGTGAAGTTAAACTTTACCCCATTGTACAAGCAAGTGGCTATCAGGACTCAGTAGCTAAGTGGATAGCATGATACAGTTTGAAGCGAGCGGTACTGAGTTTTAGTCCCAAAGTGAACATCAACTCTACGACTCAGATACATCCAGCCGAAGAGTCCCAAATAGGACGAAATGTGCCTCAAACTGGATTCCACTATTAACCACTATCCATCAAAGAAACAATTAACATTCTATGAAATAAAAGACGCTTCACTTAAATCCATTTCAGTAGTGTAATCCAACAATGAGAAATTCAAACTTCTGATTTTCATCATTATAATATTGAAATTCGGTTTGATTAAGTAAATTTCTTTTACTCCAGTTACACATTTGAGGATGTCAAGAGTGTGAGAAGTATCATCAATAGATTAAGATTGTGAAATGTTGTAAATTGAATAAATTTAGATATTTTAACCATTCAGTGTTAGTTCATAGATCTATAAAGGTAACAGACTCATTGCTACATTTCTTTATTCTATACCAGACAAGATTATGGATTCACATTTCTTAGAAGTCTAATATTCAAACAATGATTCTCCTCAGTGCTTCATCATTTTATACTTAAAGTTAGTTCATTATGTAACCTACATTTAGAGAATATGTTAAGGTTAAGGTAACTCCGTCTGAAGCCCCACTGGGGCTACTACCGGTCCCAAGCCTTGATAACGGAGCGGAGGAGGGTTAGACATCAGGTTAACGACTTCATCCCGTAGAAATCAGAAATGGGACACTTGGTAGTAGAAGTTCGAATTGAAAAAAATGGTAACAGAGAGCAATTGTAATAGCAATGAAGGAATGATGAAGATTGAGATAATTGATAAACAATTAACAAATGAAGTAATTAATGTCTAGTTTTTCATATTTTACGAAAGATCTATGTAATTAAATGTTACACAATAAATTGGTTGTCCCCCCATGTTAGTTCTCGTTCATTACAAATCGATATGATATAGATTAATATAAACTATATTTGGGGATTAACTTGGTGTTGTTTTACTTGTATCTTCCGATTGTTATTTAGGATTACAATTGATCAGTCTCTTGTTGGAATATGTGCATCCTGTTCGGGTTGCTTCGATATAGCCTTAAGTCACAAGCTTTTTAAGCAAAGATTGATAGTGGTTAGCAGTGGAATCTAGTTTGACGCGCATTTCCTCCAATTTGGGACTCGTCAGCTAGATATATCTGCGTCGGAGAGTTGATGTTCACTCTGGGAATCAAATCCAGTATTGTTCGCTTCAAATGCCATCACCCCATTGCATAAGCAATGGGGTGAATTTTAAATTCACTTGGTGTTGTTTTACTTGTATCTTCCGATTGTTATTTAGGACTGCCATTGATCAGTCTCTTGTTGGCATATATGTATCCTGTGCGGATTCCTTGATATAGTCTTAAGTCATAAGCTTTTGAAGCAAATAGCACGAAACACGTATCCTGGATTCCATTGCCGGCCACTATCCATCTTTGCTTAAAGATATATTTGGGAATGTTAGTAGTATAGTAGATTATCTAAAGTAATGAACATTTCAAGTCACATTAATTGATTAGTGGTGAAAGAAAATTATCACTTTCAAATAAATAGAATGATCATACCCCAACCTTATGAAATTTGTCCAAGCAATTTTTTATACTCAAAAAGAGGTAGTCATAAATCTTTCTTTGCCATGGTAACATTAAACCCTCCCCCCCGTTTTTTATTACTTATTACATCATTCATTATTTCAACTCTTTCTGAAGTTTAAATTACATCATTGTCATTTTTCCTTAATTTATATCTTTCTTTATTACCATTAGTTTGTTTTGAGTTAGTTCATTACATAATCAGAAGAGGTTTTGTGGAGATTAAAGTAATTTCAATCGTTTACATCATGAGTCAATTGAAGCTAGACCATCATGGAAAACCTAGAAGGACTGGACGGCTGTTTCGTCCTATTGTGGGACACCTCAGCAGTGTGCATTCACATAATCATTTAATACTTGGTAACTCTATGAGTTGT